ATCAGAAGACCACTTCGCGACTCGCGAGCGCAAGTGCAAACAAACTCAGTCGTAGAATTCTGGACACTTCTACCGCGCGGCGCACATGTTCCGAATTCGCGAGTCTGAGGGATGCCACCCCACATGAGCGTCACATATGTCGAGGTCTCTCTTCGGTACGAGACCCTTCATGCCAACCCGTGATGTACCGGTGCGCCCTGTACACACGATGCCTCGTTCGGTATGGGGTGCACCTACGGATACTATTACGATGGGGCAAGTGCAGCTCGCTACGGCAACACGCCCGCCCGTTTCGGATTTTGCAGAATCATCGTCACGTGTCGGGCGCAAAAAAAGCTCGCTGCTCTTTCGCGGTAAATTAAACGGTTATTTCGATACTTCTGGCATTCTTTGAAAAATCATAAACTCTGACTCTCAATTACGCGATCTCGCAAAAGTAAAACTTTTTTCATCGCATTAACAAAGAGAACCCGGTCGTTTTGGAGATCATACTTGATGGGCAAATAATTAAGAAGTATCCTTAAGATAATTCCGACTGCATCGATTAGTGACAACTTTATCAATTATCGATTACTCATTATCGATTCCCGGCTTTTCACGTTTACCGATTGCTCCTCGATGGCGAGAAGAATCGCGACTTTCTTATTAACGTGACAGATTACTTTCTCTCTCAAACACCGAGCTGAGTTTCAATGTGCCGGTGAATGATTTTATTACCGCCGGCGCAACGGGTCGTCGTTAGGTAGGTGACTAAATCAAAAATCCGGTTGACAGTTTCATCCGTGCAGGCGACCCCTCTTAAGCCGACATATGCAGGGACGAGTTCTATGGACATCGGAACAAACAGGAAAACCAGGATCGAAATATTATCATGGCCGAATAATAGGCTTAGAAAACAGGCCGGTTAGTGGCGGGGTACACCTAGAAGCGCGAAGCGCGCCAACACCAAGTCGTAGTACCGACCCTCCCAATTAGTAATTGGATTTGGCCGGTGCGGTGATGTTCATTTGACATCATTGGGACATTTAGGTGCGCGCCGGCGCCGCTCGCTATTGGATTACCGGAATATTTCAGGAGCCTGTTTTCGCGAAAAAGTCTAGCGAAACCGTTCGGTCGCTCGGTGCTATCGACATAAAGGCGGGTGGTATACATTAAACGAACGAGCATAGGTACAATAGCTATCATACAGATTAGGTCATCCTGAACAAAAAAGTCCTTCATCGTTTTGCGAACAACCGCCGCGCAGTTTCGAGTCGTTAATTAAAGAAGCCTCTCCATACATGTCCGTTTCAATGGTTAATAATTCAAAATGTTGCGTGGTCGTTCGCAAAATGGTAGAAGACCTTTCTCGTTCACATCGACCGAAACTGCAAATATATAACGGATAAGATAGCTTGCATCAGACACCCTGTATATTAGCGCTAAACTTTCTTCGACGAGCCACCTTGCGAGCCGGTCCGAAAAACGTTCTGTTCGCACCCGTTATAGCGTACACATTTTTCAAATTGTAACAACGAAAGTTTGCGCTCGCTGTTCGCTCGCTCGCTCGGTGTATACCCAGCTTTAAACGGGGGATGTATTCTCGCGAAGCACACCGGGAGAGAATAGTTTCATTGTCTCGCCGGACAAGCGTGGCCGCCGAGTCCCGCGAATTCAATTTCGACCGCTTTTTCCCCAGGAACTCCGACTCGCGGATCGTCTTTTTCACAAGGACACCGAGGCATAAGCGGAAGTGAAAAGTAGCAACTCCGTTTCTGCATGGCCTCTCGCACACACATAGGCGCACACCCACAGACACACTCCCGTAGTTGCGTCATTGCCATAAGGTGGTAATGTTACAGGCCGTTGGGCAGCTGAGAGGGATCTCATGAATCACGGCGCTGAAAGAGAGACGACGACGACGACGAGAGAGCTTGAGAAAAAAAGGAGATTGAAACCGGTTTGGCACGCGCGCGCATGTCGAGTGTTTCGTAATGACGCCTGCAGACCCTCATTAAGCTTCATTATCTCGGCATATGATAAACATTAATCGGCGACCCTTGACACTTCGTGTACGATGTGTGTGCGTTAAGTAGCCCCGGCGATTACTCACTGTTAAATCGGGTTTTGTATATCTATCGCATGGACCAACGAACGGATGGGGAGCATCTCGATCTCGCGTCTTGGTCTCGTCCTCTGACAAATATGTACTCGTATATACCAGCGAGTCGCTGACACTTTCGGACGCTTTCGCGCGCTCGATTAAGTTTAATCGATACCACGCACAAAGCCACAGAGGACGGAGTATCCAGAAATGTATTTGCAAATGCAAAACACAGTCGAAGAAGTAGATTCAAGACGGTTGAAGTGGAAAGAAGGGCGGAGAGCCAAATTACCCGGCACAGAACACATTATCTCCACTTGATAGGCCCCCACACCCCCCCGGAGACAGTGGCTCTCCCACGTAAACGGGTCCGAGTAAGATCCCGGGGAAGAACAGATTCTCCGCCGATTTTGCACCAGCGAGAGCACTGCGAGACACTGCCGGTCTCTCTCTCTCTTTCTTCCTTCCCGCTTCCCCTCCTGGCTTCGCGATTACCTCTCTACTCCCTCCACCATCATAAATTTATTCAAACAAATTCTATAATTACTTTTTCGACCCAACTGCCACTCGAGCCAAGATTTATCCTCTCGATTACCTAAGTAACGCTCATCGTTACTTTTTGCCGTTCACGAATGTATATTGCAATTTTATGGTAACGGGGTCCAGAGATTGAGAAGACGTTGAAGAAGAGCTTGTCCGGTGAAGGATCGAGAAGGTGGACTGGAGGCCGATATGAATTGAACGCAGACGGACGATAAGTAAACCTGAACATAAAGAAATATGTTGATTTTGATTGCAAACTTTCTTCAACCCTTAACGTGATGTACGTGTTGTCGGAAATCATTTTGTACAGACCGATCTATTCTATCAAAATCTGAGCAAGTATGAAAGAATGCAACCGATGCATTAAAGTTCAGCATACCGAAGTCGATTTGGTTCGACTTGTTTGTACGGTACTTCCGATCCACAGGGTTGTGTTTTCCATTACATTTTATTTTGATTCTAAATTAAACATTAAATGTTATGCCAGTTCAAAAAATAGTTGCAAAACTATAAGAAAAATGAACCGGAAGAATTTTATAACAATAACGAGTGAGCCCATGGACTTGTTTGGGTAGACCCAATTTTGGATTGGCCGCGGTATAACAAAAACGCGAGATGTTTCTTAAGCAGTACGCTCGCTGAAAAGTGACCCGATCTCTGGAGGATGTCAAGGACTTCAAGACCGAAAGCGCAAACTTCCAACCGGCACTCATCTAGGAAAATGAATTCCCTCATGTAACCCAATTTTGGATTGACAGCGATGCGTTAGAAACGCGAGATCTCTCGCGGGCAGTACGCTCGCTGAAGAACCTGACTCCTCGAGGACCTCGAGACCTCGAAGGACGAAGTCGTAAAGTTCTCAACAGTACTCCTTCGAGAAGAATCCAAGGAACCCAAATTTGGGGTCATTTTTCTGGAATTTCTCGGAAATTCTCGCGTCCAGAAGGACGGAGCGCGGCAGGGTCGACCCTCAGCGTGTTGCGGCTTGCGCCGGAATGACAGCCTCGTGACATCACCGTCGCGGCGCCACAATCCTTGGCACGACGAGATGGGCGTCCGTACGGGTGCAAGCCGGCTTCATCCATTGGTCGCGCCGTCGGCAGTGGATTGGTGCGCGGCGTAAAATGGGCAAGGCCAGCCAGAAGAGCTAGTAGTTTGCGCCGCGTCAGTCGCGGCCGCGCCCACCGCGAGCCTGAAGGTCCGACCCCATTGGGACCTGCTGGCACGCCGCTAGTGCCGGCCCTGACACATTCGACAAGCGGCGCCGTAACGGGAAGCAACGCGCGACTGGGGACCTCGAAGGACCTCTCCGCTGGTCACGAGACACCCTCGCGACGTCTCGGTGGCGACGATAACAGGCGTACCGCCGGCAAGTGCTCAGATTACCACCCGCGCGGCCGACCACCACTGCCTATCTCTCTCTCTCCTCTCTCTCTCTCTCTCTCTCTCTACCTCTGTGCACCCGAGAGTGATCCAGCCGGGTAGGGATCGCAGGACGATCTCGAAGGAGCCGTCAGTAAGGACACCTCTGGGAACGAGCGAGTTCGACCAAGGCGGGGACAGTCGATGATTTCCGGCCGCGGAGGTTCGTACACGCGGCGCATCGCAGGGCCGCCGGCGCGGCGAGTGATGCGACAGTGATAGAAAACGTCGACACGATCAACGGATTGTCGCGAACGGACAACGGGGGGAGGGGGAGGGAGGGANGGGAAAAGCAGTGTGCATTGTGAGACTCCAAGGCGACCCTTAGTGCGCGCTCTCGAAACTAACCCTTGCGACCGCGCGCGCGAACTCGTGTGCGGACGCATGTGCACCGGCACGCGGTCGGTGCGGCCGACTTGACGGTGCAGCGTCGCGGGGCGCGACGCGACGTTGTCAGTGGTGAGCGGACGTTCCGTGCACCGGCTCGCTGCGGCGGCTCACACACACCGGCTGCCGATGGCAGCGATTCATGCGCGCTCCTAAGGAACAACACGCGGCGCGTTCGCTCTGACCGGCTGACAGAGCGGAGTGTGTCTCGCGAAAGGGTGTCGCCGAGCGGGTGGGGGGCCCACAGCCGCCGACCCGAGAGTTTCAACGCAAAGAGTGGCAACGCGAAGGAGGAAGCCTGTTGCCCCAGGAGAGTCCGTACGGCCTCACCACGCGGTCCGACGAGTGGAGCGGTCTCCTGCCCAGCTCCACGATCGTGGGTGCTGGGGGGTCGCCATGGCTCGGACTCGGCGCAGGGGGTGGTGCCGGGGCCACCACGGGGGGCGGAAGTCCCGTCGAGCTCGAAGGACACTGGGGTCGTAAGCTGTACGGCGCGAGTGTGGCCCCGCCACCCCCGCCGCCGCACCATCACCCGCGGGCGCCGTTAGTTTTCGCGCCTCAGGACATGAGGCAGATACTCAAGGAGGAACCGGTGCCACGTGCTTGGCCGCAGCCCGCCCTCGCCGACAACGGAACGTGAGTACACGCGATTCCGCTTTATTAACCCGCGAGCCCGAGTGACGAGGACGGTCCGCGTTTTCTTCGTTTTGACCAACCCCCGCCGATCTCGATTTTATCGGGGACACGTTCGGATTGAGCCACTCATCGACGCAACGTGACGCGATGACGTTGCAGCTGAAAAACCTAGGCTTCTCGAAAGGGCGATAAAGGGGGGATGGGGGAAATTCGTCGAACAACGGCTTCTTCGCGCGGTCGGACTGTCGCGCTGCTTCACGGAAGGGATACATTTCTGTGCTTCGCAAAACGACACGCGACTGTAATGGAGGGCACGTTGTACACGCCATTACCTCGTTACGCGCGTTCACCGGGCCGAACGAAACGCTCGGCGTTGCGCAGCGTTAAAATCGTTACACGCGCTTTTAATCCGTAAACCCGGTTAAACAATTCGCCGGCTCTCGGTGATGTTGGGGGGAAAAAAAAAAACAAGCGAAAAATAAATCGCCGAAATGCATCCCCGTATCTTTGATCGAAATTCGCTTGTGCGCGGACGCCGCTTGCCGTCGGATCGCGAGCTGCACCCCTGCGCGCGTGATGCATCGCCGGCCATTCGGCGGTCGTTCAAATTGCAAAAAGCCTCAAATACCACGGATGCGTGACGAGCATCGCTCGGACGCGTAAATCTTGAAACGATCGATCGACAGTGGTCGCGCGAAGGAGAGGAGGGAAAAATTACGAAAACGCGCTCCTTCCGTTCCTCCTCGAGAGATCTGCCGTAACGTTATTCCCCCCCCCCCTGGGATATCGTTGGAGGGCGCGTAGAAATCGTTTCAGATATTTCCCCGTCCGTCATTAGAGACGCCGGCACGTATCGTGGGTGACAACGGCGACGGTGACAGCCGACGGCCCGTTCCTCGTCGTCGTGGCCGAGACACGCCGAGTATGGTCGGCATTGGTCGTGCCGCGAAAACAAATACCCGCTTTATCCTTCATCCTGGCGAGCAGGGGGGGGGCGTAGGAACGTTTCCGAGCACACGTCCCTGCGTTTGGCGAACGATAAACCGTGCTTTATTGCAGCCTCGCTTAAGGGATTTGTACGACGTGCAAACGACGAAGGTACAGATACGACGACTCGAGAAGGTAAACCGGCGGCGCGCGCGTTGGCTCGGCCCGGGCTCGCTAATCCAATAGTGGGTTCCCTTAACTAACCCCTTGCCGCGGCGAGCTGCACAACGTGACACGGGGACCGACTGCCGGAATCGAGTTAATGTAATTGAGAATTTTAACGCCTTTTGCTCGTCGCTCGTACTTTCTCTCTCGTCCGCCGATCCTCGATCGTTCCGCCTCCAGGCGAACGGCTGGACCTCCCCGCGAGAGAGGAAAGACGAATACCCCGGTGCTCCGAAAGCGAAATGAAAGCGCGAAGAATTTTATTAAAGCCGCTCGCGGCAGCTAACGATGTTGTTGTCGCGTTGATGTTGCTCGTGGTGGAGGGAAAGACACGTCGATTACTCTTCTCTCAGAGATCTTGTCGGACGCGAGTCGCACGGTGTGGAGCGCGCTTTCGATCGGCGGGGAAATCCGGGAAAATTCCCGCTCGCCGGCGGATTAAGAGGAATAATTGCCGCGAGAATAGTTAACACGCCGAGGGCCGCGCCAATTTTCACGTGGCTTCCCATTCGCCCCGCGAATGTAATACCGATGGCCCGAGTCACCGCGTTTGTCGTAAGATATAACTCGTAATATTTATTATTATTATTATTATTAAAATGTTATTTACCCAGCGCTCTGGGATTAATCCTCTTAAGCACGATGTCTTAAATATAAATTACATAAAGAAGTGGGGCAATATTAATGTAATATAAAAACAATGAAAAAATAGGGTTTACAAAGCAATATAATGCAATATACGCCAAACAATATATAAAACAGAGTATTAATATAATATAAGAAGAAAAATAAAGTCGCAGAGTAAGCAATAAACATCAAAAAGGAAGAATAATGTCTACTAGGAAGCTGAAAATTCACCTAATCCACCAATAATTATAGCCAGTAATTAATACTAGTTTCATATTAATACTTCTTAAGCAAATAGATGTACAAGCAATGGTTGGACCCGGTAACAGTGTTCGTTCACACAAACCACACAAACTTCTGTATATATTTAGAAGACTGCAAAAATCGTTATTATGAAAAACATCCCAAGATATATCTTATAATATTTACAAAACTACAATATTATTACTATAATATATTACTATATATTAAAACTACTATATATTACTATAATATATTACAAGGAGGAAGAGATAACGTAAAGTGTATGCACTATGTGGCTTGAATGGGAAGCTACACGGCACTCGACGTGTTAACTGGGGGAGAACGATGTGATAATCAATCGAGGAATCTGTCGCAGATGACAGGTAGACAACACCGTCTATCTGCGAGTGATCGTCGAACGACAAACGTCGCAGGATCAATCCCGACGTCGAATACAAAAAAAAATGCGCAAGCGCGCGGATCCGCTTCCCGTTGGAGCTTAATTGAATCAATGTTGCGGCAGTCTAGGTAATTGCCTCGCGGGAGTTTAAAAGTCGCAAAATGTTAAGCGTCAACTTTCGCCTTCCCGGGAACTCGAGTTGGGGAAGTTTCGTTTCCCGCTGCGTGAGAGAACGGTTGTACCGCACAACTGCGTTACACCGAGATCGAGAGACTCTCGGGGGTGGGTGGGAGGGTTTCAGCGAAACTGTTTTAAAACTCCCGCGGAACGGGCATAAACTCTCGCGCTTTTTAAAAACCCCTAAAAAAGTTATCCACCTAATGAAGCAGTAAACCATCGCGCGCGCGCGCGCGCGCGTCCTTCTCGCAGCGAAGAGATCGCGAGCGGGAAAATCGCGGGGGAGAGAAATGCCGATCGATCGGCACGCGCTGAATCGCAAGTTGAATCTCGCGTGTCCGCATTCCGCAATTTTCCGGAACAAAGCCGCGCCTTCCGCGCGCAAAATTATATCGATCGCACTTTGTAATTTCAAGACAAACATCCATCTAAATATTCGATGTTTAATGCATAACTAACGGTTAATGTACTTTAATGCGGTATGTATATGTGTGTGTGTGTGTGTGTATGCACGTGTGTGTATGTGTGTGTGTTTGCTTAAACTTAATTAAAATATGCGAAAATTATTTATTATCACGGGGGAGCTCTCGCGCGGAGTATTTGCGAGATACACGCGAGCGTGTGCGAGGGTGTTAATAACTAATTAGATTTTTACGCGGCCACGGAGCTACGATGAAACATAGAGCCAAATTGAACAACGTTCGTAGTAACGCACACTGGTAGCAAATTACATTCGGATATATTACAAATTGCTCATTATCTCCCTGCGCATTATGATCGCGTTGGGCGCGAGCGTAAACAGTGTATGCGTGTATACGAGAGAGGGAGAGAAAGGGAAAGGGAGAAACAGAGAGGAGAGCGTGCGTTTCGGGCAACTCGCAATAACTAACGCCCGACGGCGCGCGCATTACCCGCGGATTTATTGTAATTCTCTACGATTGCTTTATCCGCGAATTCGTAACCATATCGGTGGCTCCGTATTATCCGCATATTTCGTCCATAATACATGGCGCGCAAATAGCAGAGGTCGCGGCTTCTGTATAAAGTGGAGGAGATATATCGATCGGTTATCCGGCAATCCGTGTCTCCTCGCGTTGTCGACGATTCTTCGTCGTCGTCGTCGTCCTTTAAACGTTGATTGCGTCGTGAACGCGGTGCCGTCGGTTCCCGCGGAATGAAGAAGTCATTCTGCTAACACGATATAATAAAACGCGCGAGTCTCCTCTCGTAACTTCACGTCTGGTTTTGGTTACAATGGCCAAACAACTTAGTTGAAACTCAACCGAATCCTTACAATTATTACCAAACCCCAATTTACAGTATACTCAGCTTTAGATTCGTCGTTGTTCACGTGATCGCGATTTGTGCACTCATACGAATCCCCCCCCCCCCCCNTCACTCTCGCGAGAATCGCGGATCGAGGAACGAATTATCGCGCCCCGTATCTTCATTTCGCGCATTCGGACACGCGCGCTTTAGAACGATATCATTGCCGGTCGATCGGAATCTGCAAATCGAATCGCACTGGCGCTTTAGCCGACGACCGCGAAAGAATAATCGCACGGTGGGATAGCGCGACGGCGGAGGGAACCGAATGATTCGCAGGTGCCGGAACGAGCGGTGTTATCTGCGAGGCGAAAGCGCACGCGTGGCAAATTGCACGCACGAATACAGTAAACGCGAATGGAGCCCGTAATTATCACCTCTCTCTTTCTCTCTCTCGCGCGCGCGCGTCGCTCGGCAGGACGAGCAACACGCACGCGGGTGGACATAAGCGCACGCTATATATGTCCACACATACATATTTGTACGACGCATTTGTGTCTCGTAAACGCTCGGACACACCCGCGCGCAATACCATTGAGAACGGAAAGAGACGCAAAAAAAAGTAGCAATTTGACGAGAACGAATATTGGCGAAGAGGTATTGAAGCGTGGTCCGCACCCCCCCCCCCCCCCCCC